AGACTAGTCAGCAGCTCAAAATACGAAGAAAAAGAAAAGCTATTGCTCTGTGCAACCACGTGAATAGAGCATTTCTGAAAGTAATACCTCAAGTTACTCTGCCCCCTACCCCCAGCAAACCTCAAATAAATTCATTAAAAATATTCATTAACAAAAAGTTCAGAGTAGCGCTCTCTGCGAGAGCACAGGTAATATTACACGTTGGTTTTACTTGTAGACCCCAAAATTGCTGTAATAAATATGCATTACCTTGTAGTCAGAAAAATATAGTTTTAAGTAACATATTACAACTAAAAACACAAAAGTAGAAATGAAGCAACGTTAGCACTGACAGCAGAGCTCTTCTTTCTCACGCAGAACCACAGACAACATTGCCTCTAGGTGATGTGTCCCTCCCTTCTGTCTCTCTCTGATATTCCCACGACACCGTTTCTTTCCCTATTAAAATGGGAGTTTGGAAGGAATTTAGAAAGGAGAAAGGAGGGGCGTGTTGTGAATTTTCATAGACCCCTTACTCCCCTTAAATAGGCACCAGGTTTTGTTTAAATGGAGGATTCACTACTAAAGTATACTTTTGATCCAACCGTTCTTCTGCTTTTAGCAACATACCTAATAGAAATGCATACATAAGTGCATGATAGAACACGCACAAGAATATTCACCCTGGTTTTATTCACAATGGCCAAAACCAGAGAACTCCATGTTGACCAATAAGAGATGGATGAAAAAACTGTGGCCTATTTGCTGCGGTCTGAATGTTGGTGTCCCCCCAAAAAATTCATACGTTAAAACTTGATCCCCAATGTGATAGTATGAAGAGATGGGCTTTGGGGGGGTGATTAGGTCATGAGGGCTCTGCCTTTATAGGATTAGTGCCCTTATTAAAGCGGACTGGGGGAGCTTGTTTGCTCCTTCCGCCATGTGAAGACACGGAACGGTGTCATCTCCGAGGAATGGGCCTTGCCAGACACGGAATCTACTGGCACCATGATCTTGAACTTCCCAGCCTCCAGAGCTGTGAGCAATAAATTTCTGTTGTTTATAAATTACCCAGTCTGGATGTATTTTGGTATAGCAGCCTGAATGAACAAAGACAATATTCATACGATAAAATACTGCACAGCAATGAAAAAGAATAAACTTCTGCTCCCTGCAACGAATGAATACATCTCACAGACATAATGTTGCATGAAAGAAGCCAGAAATAAAAGCATGCACACTGTGTGATTCCATTTATACGCATCCCAAACTCGGCGAACCTAATCTGGGATGTTGTTTCGGAACAGTGATTTCCCTTCAGGGGATAATAACTGGGAGAGGGCAAGCGGAAGGTTCCGGGTGCTGATAAGGTTTTATTTCTCAAGATGGATAGTGGTCACCTGGGTATATTAATTTGGTATATCTTCATCCTACTGTACGCTTGTGAAATATGCACTTGTCTGTATATAAATAAGATAATAAAATTCACTGTTAAGATAAAGAAACAAATAACATTAAATTTTAATTTAGGATCATGATTTATTCTCAGGTATGATTTAGACCCTTGGCTGGGAAGACTGAAGCACAGTCAATCTGGTTCAGATTAGTACACCAACTAGTCAACTCCGTGGAAGTGGACTAGTCATCATTAGCACAGGCAAGAGGAAAGCTGACTAGCAAAATTTCGATGTAGACACCATGTACTGTACAGTACTGGCTCAGCTTACAACTTGCTGCAGCCAGTAATCTGGGACAATCTCATGATTTACACAGTCATTTACAAGGGGGGACTAAGAAATGTGCCCATAGGGTTTAAGTCGCAAAGATGCTATTAATGATTGAGCTAGGCACAGAGTCTTTCTCACACAAAACAATAACTGTTTGCACAGGTTGTGAAAATGCCAGACCATGCTTAAAGCTTTACAACTTCTTGCTTAAGTTATAAAAGAAAGTGACAAAAAAGATAAGTGATGAAAAGGCAATAAATGTCACACCCTGAGGGCATGTGCTGCTGTGTCCTGTACCGAGCCGTGAATAATCGAGAAGACAGCCTTGCAGACAGCTGCTTTATGGTCCTCGTTACTGAAGCCTGTGCAAAACCTCTGCCCACCTGACTCCAAGCTCTAGCAGATACCCAGGAGTTTGAGACACTTTTCCTCTGTGGAGACGCCCACTTTGTGAAGCTCAGATGGACATCCACAGCAGGGCTCTACCCAGGATTTGGACCTGGCTGACTGATCCATCCCATGTTATTAGCCGAGGCCGGGCCAGAGTTCTCCATGGGAATCTGCTCACGAGCTAGGAAGGCGGGCTCAGGATGCAAGCCTGGGGCTGCCTGGGGTCGCTTTCCATGGCTACATGGGAGACCCCTGTCTGAGGTAGAAGTTTGAGGCCAGCAAACACAGAAGAAAATACAAGCAGAAATAAATCAGGGAGGGGCTGACTGCCCAGTGCTGGGCACCTTCTTCCTATAGCTTCTCCTCCGTGAACCACTCCAGATTTTTCCCAGCCATGCCAGACAACAAAATGCCTTTTTTCTTAAGTTAGTTTGAATTGGATTTCTGCTCCTTGGCAACAAAAGTCCTGACAAACGCACTAATAGATGTAGCATCGGGAGCACAGGAAGGTTACAAGTAATCACCCGGGGGAAGGGGGAAGGGAACAGAGCAGTGAACACACAGTGGGCCTTGGCAGTCTGGGGGAGGCGAGCGCCCACACTGCCATTAGCAGCTGGCTCCTGGGCTCTGCCAGGTGACAGCATCCAAGTCCCAAGTGTAAATTGCCTCAGTTTCTTCCTTTGATTCCTCCCAGGTTTCACTGCAAAGATATATATACCTCTGCCATCCACCTCAATACCTTTTTCTCTTCCCAAGCCCTCAGTTCTCTCTGAGGTTACTAGCCCTGTGCACGCCAGCCCTGTGCATTCGCTGGCCCTAAACTGCATCGCCAATGTGGGACTCCTAAAATTTTGGTACATACGTTGAACCGTATTACGGTTTAATATACTATGTGTATATTAAACAACTGTTCATATTTCATCACTTTATTCTCAAAACGCTTTGCTTCATCACATAGAAATTGAGAGGAAGATGTGTATCCCTTCATTACAGCATTTGCTGCCTGTTACTATCGCTGATTTGTGCGTGTGTGTCATCACCAGACCATGCATGTCTGTGAGCAGAGACCACTTCTTACTGAATTTGTGCACCCAGCACCCAGCCTGGTTCTTGGGACTTACAGGTGTCTGATGCCTCCCCACTGTGTATTAGCAACGCTTAGAACTCCACAGAACCCTGTGCTTCTCGAAGCGTGAGCCCTGACCCGGCAGCCTCAGCATCACTGGGGAAGAGGTTGCACATGCAGGATGTGGCCCCATCCCAGAACTACTGATTTGTAAGCTGGGTGGTTTGTATGCTCAGTAAAGTTTGAGAAGCACTGCCTTAGGGGACAAAAACCCAGAAAGAGTCTTCAAGCCTGGTGGGGGATGTGACTAGACACACCACAAAAGAAGAACGAAAGAAGAAAAGAAAGAAGCAGGCAAACGTATGTAATCCAAAGCAGAATCTGGCATTATCTGTGAAGGTAAAAAGTTCGGACTATTCTGGAGGCAGCAAGAGGTCTCGGACGTTGGGGAATAGACGGGCCAAATCAAAGAGTGTGTGGCGTGGCTGGGAAAGAGAGAGGCAGGTGGGTACCAGAAGTGCAGGTGAGAGGTGAGGAGGGCCTCAACCAGGGAGGTGAGGACGATGAGAAGGGGCATGCAGGGAGGGAGCCGGGCCACCCTGTGGACCAGGAGCCGACTGTTGGGAGAAGGGGAGGAGAAGGGAGGAGTCAAGAGTGGGTGAGGCTCTGAACCTGTAGGGCTGGGGCAGGAATGCCAGTGAGCTCCAGGGCGAGGCAGCCCCTGTAGGAAGGAGTCCTGGGGTCTGCACCCCATCTCTGCTCTGCAGGACCCCCTTGGCTACTGGGAAGAATGGCAGTTGGGAAAGTCTTCACTACAGATAGGGCAAGACAAGGATATCATGCTTTTCCTTCTCCCATCTTTAAACTGGGGGAGATCTTTAAGATGTCCTGGGTGCTTGGGTTTTTGTATCCAGAGGAGACACGGGCTCACAAAGCAGACAGACAGCTATCAGATTCTTAATCTTAGAATCTATTGAGGTGGTAAAATGGAAAAATAAATTAACGGTGCCACTTCAGCACCTAAATGAATTGGGTCTTGGCCAGTTCTGCAGGAAGCTTCTGCAAGAACTCAGTAAATGATTTCCAATTTAAAACACAGCTCAAAGAGCACTTAATAAATGCAATTTGGTGATGATAATGATGCTGCACACAGCAGCAGCATCTACCCAGTTAAGCGAATGTTTCCAGGGAACGATAATGATGAACCGGCTCCAGTACGCTGCTGAGGAAGCGGCCCATTTGCCCAGTGGGCAAGGGCAATGCCGAAGGCTCTGGCTGGGCATTCTGCTGTTTTAAAGATCTGCTCCCTAACCTGTCCCCCCCCCGCCCCGCCCTCGGCTCCCCTCACCCAGCTGCCGATCTCATTATTGCCCTAAGCAATTCTTTTGGCCACAAACGTGGCAGTTTAGGGACAGTGTGGAGAAGCCGGGTCCCTGGAGAGCGAGACTCCCCAGGGAAACCACAGGAACGAAATAGGTCAGGGGGCTCCTGGGCAGCGCTCCCCTGCCCTGCCTGGTGCAAGCCCTG